CATAAAATTGCCGATGCAAGTACATAGGGTGAACGCAAAGGCAATTGGCAGCCAGAGCAAAGGAGCACTTGCCTAGTTGGCTTTTCAAACAGGAACATAGAACACTTCGTTCCTCCATTACAGAATATTTGATAGATACGGGCCATTCCGTGGACCCTAAAACTTCCTTCCGAATACTTGTTCGGGCACGAACAACTCGTACCTTGCGCTACCTGGAGGCAGCCTACACACGGCGGTCAAAACTTTGCCTATGTAAACAGTTGGAGCATGTGGTTAACCTAGCTTCGCCTTGATAAAATCTGGCTCTCAAACTTATATAGTCCCCTACCCACCTATTTGCTTTTCATCTGCTTTTATTTCCACCTCGTTTTTACTCGCTAACTTCACCAAGTAGCCTTCGTAACCGACCCTATGACCTTTTTTGACCTTTATGTACCAAGTCAATTTTGCATTTTTCTCATTCGTTACTCTCACCATGCAATGCAATGGACGCAACTGATGAGTTTTCCCGTAATTTCATGTATCCAATAAATCTTGCTGTTTTTGCAATCTAGGAAACTTTGCTTTAAATTTATGAGTCATAATTACTCGAAGAATAAAGAATGCTGATTAAATTTCGACAATTAACGACTTGGGCGCGGACCGAGGATTCATCGCATTATTTACGACCATCAGCGATTAATGCGGGTCCAGATAATTGAATCCGGTACATGACAGTGTGGCACAAATGCCCACAAATGCAGTAGCCCTGACGCCCTTATCTGCGATTTTCTCTAAGTTTGAGATTGAACGTGAATCCGAAACGTAGGTCAAATAAACACTGTCTTCCAGCGATTATATATTGGTCTACTGAACAAGAAAACGGTCCAACCGCCAATACCGAATGCTGCCGGACTTCAAACGGCAATACTCATCATAATTGTCATCCTAGAGTTCAAGTAGGACGTTTTGTCGCATCCATTCCATGGATTCGACCTTGCTCCATCAGTGTATCATCTTTTCCTATCGCTTTCAAATCAAATATGTCGCGTTATATTCGACAGTAGAGAACATTAATACGCCCTCCCCCCACCTCCACTGGTAGGACAAGAGAGTACAAACGCTCCGTTTTATTGGTGGCTCTGCAGTACGCTGCGGTAAGCTTAGGATTGAGGTTCAGGTTAGTGTTGGTGTTAAGGTTAGGAGAGAAAGCGTTTTTACGGATCCTGAAGCTCCCCTGGTCGAAGACAAACCCAGCACGTCTCTCCATCTTCGCTGTAGCATGACGCGGTAAACGGTGAGAACGCAAGTATTGGGCCCGTCTTTTGTTGGTTAGCCTTAGGGTCTGTATAAGTGCTGTCTGCGAGCACAAAGTTGGGTTGGTTAGTCCGGAGTGTTCCGTCGGCACTTTATTGATAGCTCTACTCAGTGACCGCTGTCAGCCAAATGAGACACAATTGCGCTAGATATGGACTTTACCACATAGCTTTCCCCCTCTGTTAGGGGCAGGCCCAACAACCCGTTATCATGCTGTCCTGATTACTCGTCCCACGGTGCACTATCGACCGGTAAAGCCGCGCGGTTGATGAGATTGATCAAGCCACCGACCGTGATTAGCCTATCACTCTATTCATCCCGAAAGCCACTCGGCATATTATCCTTCTCGTGACGCCACAATCTGACTGGCCCAATCTGTACGCTCCACTTGTCATAAGTACGTTGTATAAGGTATGCTAAAATACTTCTGCTTTTGCGTCCCTTCTTATTGCGTTTTCCCTTAAGGGTCCAATTTAGGGCGTAATTAGGCGGTGACATCTGGGATTTTGGCAACATTTACAACAAGTTTTAGGTTATCTTTTTATAAGTGTTATTACACAATAATGGAAATAATTGGGTCGACCGGAAGACTTTTGGATCCCTTACTTTAGTATTATGACACATTACGAATTGCAAATGCGAAATGGACATAGTGAGTTTTGTGTCACCAATTATTATAAATTTTGGCCAAAAGCCGTGACGTCGCCGTCTAATAACGCCTTGTGTGAATCCCCCAAGGAAGAACACACCAAGAGTGGCAAAAAAGTATAAGTATTTTAGCATACCTAATACAGCGTACTTATGGCAATCAGAGCGTACAGATCGGGCCAATCAGATTGTGGCCTCAAGAAAGGGATAATATACCGAGTGGCTTTCGGGCTGAACAGAGTAATAGGGCAGAACACTTATCACGGTCGGCGGCTTGATCAATCTCATCAATCGCGCGACTTGTACCGATCGATAGTGCACCGTGGGACGAGTAATAAGGACAGTGTGATAACAGGTCGTTAGGCCTGTTCCTAACAATCTCGGCCCCTGATAGTACTAGACTATGACCCCTGACACCTGAACGTACTCTCTCCCATTAATACTGTTTATTCGATGATTCTCTTACTCCACCCTCCCGTATATTACTGTCAAGCTCTGATGATCAATAATCCGGATAAAGGTTTTTTACAAAGATCATTGTAGTTTGCTATACATAATAAACTACTTATTTCATTGTATTTTTCATGAACACAATCTCCACTTAACTTTCAAAAAGAGACTACCTCCTTTCTCTGTTTTATAAATTAAGGCATTTACTTTCATTCTGTTGCTATTTTCTCGTTAGTTTGTTTGCAGATCAATTAGTCGTATAGGTTCACGGAAACCCCTGTTCACCTCCATATCAATGGCCAATTAGCGGGTAGTATTTGCAAATTTCTTGTTTCCTAATGGTTTTACTTCCCATTGGCTCCTGATTATTTCTTACTTCTGTCGCGGAGGTTTATTCAGTAGCCTTCGATTTGCTTATACTTTCATTTAGCTTATTTTGAACTATCGCGCGTTCTTCCTTGCCATATAAGTTTTTTTAGCATAAGTGTGCCTGCCATTTACTACTTTTATACGCTCTATCATTTAAATTTATTTTCCTTCTCCCCGATGTGGCCCACCGCTATAACTCCTATTACTCCCAGTCCCGTATTACAAAATGCAGCTTTTTGCTACTGTGATGATGTTTATAATGAATCCTTAACATAACCGGAAGCATACATTAGCGAAATTCGACTTCTTGAAAGTTAACATGGGTATAATTTCTGAAAGTGAAAAGAAAACCTCAAAAATACATTAAAGCATATAAAGTAAGAAAATTTACAAGTTACGGGAAAAGGATGACAATGGTCCCTTAGAGCAGACAAATATTTTCCAAGTATATGTAACACTTTGTAAACAAGCAAACTAATGGGAAAATTACATCAAAAATAAATCTCAGAATTTGATACTGGTGATTATTATTAGTAAACTCGGGCATGCAACGTCAGTAAACGCTAAAGGAAAATATATGTAGGACGTTAACGAATTCTTTTTCCGTTACTTCTAAACACAACGTTTGGTCTTGCAAGAAGCCCTTTTTTCAGTTTGAAAGTCGAATAAAACACCGAATTGCCAAATGCGCAGTCAAATTTAGGGTAGTATTTCAAAACCGCGGCCCAAACACCGGAACTGGCAAAGGTGCCCCCATAAAGATATTAAATTACCTGAGATGGCGAGGCAGTACTCGTTCTCATTCTCTACTATGTTGCAGAACAACGTTTCTAAAGTCTCTACTGTTTTATGAAATGGCTACAAAATAACGATGACTTTACTCACGCTCAAAAAATGCCTCAGTCGATGCGACAAGGGCGTCGTCGAAGCGCAGATTGAAGGCTTCCATGGTACCAGTCTGTATAAATAGGGGAGGATAGAAGAAGCTTTTAAATGTGTTAAAAAAGATCCATCTGGAGAGCCAGGTCAAAAGACAATTTCGGTAACCATCGTCAAAGGTCGATGTCGCACCATAAAACTAGGGTTTACATTTAAAACAACACAGCTTACATTCCCGAGATCACCCTTCCTGCTGAGTTAGGTCCAGGGACGCGCAATTGCACTTCAATTGACTGACGTATGACAGAAAACGTGCGTAGATTGATAGAGCAAATATGTAGGCAGCAATAAATTAGTAAAAAAGACCAGGGAGACTGGAATGGCTATTTCTGGCTTATTGGCCTTCAATAGCCAGCTATAACTAACCCCGGGGGTTGCGGCACCCGAGGCTTGAGCCCATAACCTTGCAGGCTAGAAGTCCAATGCCCTAACCAATATACCACGGGTTGACTATCCATATACCTATATTTATATCAACGTAAAAATTTCATATAGTAGAGGCATGACATGAAGTTGGGTGACCAGAACGTGACGTTTTAGGATCAGACCGAAACTTGAATAAACAATTGAATGGAAGATAATTAATAAGGTGGAATAACCATATAATACCCATTCTAAAAAGAGTGTTACTTTCATTACTATGCATTTTCGGGGGGTTCGGCTCCTTAATTGGTTGCATAGAGCAAAGAGAAAGCTAGGAGGCTATGCAACTGCACTTGTTGACTGTACGACATTTCGTGGTTGTTTTGTGCACCACTTATATTTGGGGCTTTTTCTGATACCCATCAACGATTTCGGGCACACACAGTCAGTGACCGATCTCACGAAATCTCAATTAACAATCTTTAATGAGTATTTGAGTGGAAAGAATTACTTATGTATGGTTGTACTATTACCTACCATGTAGCCTACTATCAGGATACGTCAGACACGTCTAGATGACGACTTTTAAATGCCTGCCTTTTTGGCCTTCTGCAAAAACCTTACTCTTGTAAGAAAGCCACTTAATTAGTATGCTTTTTTCATTGATTTTAAAAGTCCTCTTAAATTCAAGTACATTTATAGGAAGTCGTCATGACCCGCGCCTGTTACTTGTAATTAACACGAACTGTAGGTTTGCTCGACTGTACTGATAGTAAATCCCACCGCCATATATGTACCATGGGGGTTGGATGTTGAAGTAGCTGAGGAGCAGCCGTACATACTGCACTTATATGCCTACTTACATGTAAGCCTAAGGTCAAATCTGTGACAAGCAAAGTGACCCCGTGTTGTCATATGCACTTATAATCTGCCTTACCGATGGTAAATCCCGCCACTCGGGGAAAAATTGTTGATGAGTGGACAACAGCTCGCCCAAAGTGAGTTTGGGTACCGTATCGAGGGCCGTGTCGCTGAGGTAGGGTGTGGCACAACTGCTGTTGCTGCTGCTGCTACTACTGCTAAGCGCGAAGCCACCATCACTGCCACCGCCGACAACCCCGTCAGCGCTGTCGTCTTCCATCCAGAATGCGCTGTCAGACATG